AGGGTGGCCTCCCTCCGCCTATGTGTGGGGGGGGATGGGTTCTGACTGTCATTTGTGCTTATGCACCAAACGGCAGTTCAGATTATCCACCCTTTTTAGAGTCCTTGGAGGGGGTACTGGAAAGTGCACCTCCTGGGGACTCCCTTGTTCTGCTGGGGGACTTCAATGCTCACGTGGGCAATGACAGTGAGACCTGGAGGGGTGTGGTTGGGAGGAACGGCCCCCCTGATCTGAACCCGAGTGGTGTTCTGTTGTTGGACTTCTGTGTTCGTCATGGATTGACCATAACGAACACCATGTTCAAGCATAAGCGTGTCCATATGTGCTCTTGGCTCCAGGACACCCTAGGCCACAGTTCGATGATCGACTTATTCGTCGTCTCATCTGATCTGCGGTCACATGTCTTGGACACTCAGGTGAAGAGAGGGGCGGAGCTGTCCACTGATCACTACCTGGTGGCGAGTTGGCTCCGACGGTGCAGGAGGATGCTGGTCAGACTTGGCAGACCCAAACGTATTGTGAGGGTTTGCTGGGAACATCTGGCAGAGTCTCCTGTGAGATGGAGCTTTAACTCCCACCTTCAGGCGAACTTTGAACATGTTCTGGGGGAGGTGGGGGACATTGAGTTTGAGTGGGCCATGTTCCGTGCCTCTATTGTTCAGATGGCTTACCGGAGCTGCGGCCACAAGGTTGTCGGTGCCTGTCACGGTGGCAAACCTCGAACCCGGTGGTGGACACTGTCGGTGAGGGATGCTGTCAGGCTGAAGAAGGAGTCCTATAGGGCCTTTTTGGCCTGTGGGACCCCGGAAGCAGCTGATGGGTACCGGCAGACCAAGCGACATGCGGCTCGGGTGATCGCTGAGGCAAAACTCGGGCATGGGAAGAGTTCGGAGAGGCCATGGAGAATGACTTCCGCACGGCTTCGAGGCGATTCTGGTCCACCATCCGGCGTCTCATGGGGGAAAGCGGTACACCACCAACACTGTTTATAGTGGGGGTGGTGTTCTGCTGACCTCAACTCGGGATGTCGTGGATCAGAATACTTTGAAGACCTCCTCAATCCCACCAGCACGTTTTCCACTGAGGAAGCGGAGCCTGGGGACTCTGGGTCGGGCCCTCCGACCTCTGGTGCTGAGGTCACCGAGGTGGTTAAAAAGCTTCTCGGTGGCAGGGCCCCAGGGGTGGATAAGATTCGCCCTGAGTTCCTTAAGGCTCTGGATGTTGTAGGGTCGTGGTCCCCCTATTCAAAAATGGGGACCGTAGAGTGTGTTCCAACTACAGGGGGATCCCGGTCTTAAGCCTCCCTGGTAAGGTCTATTTGGGGGTTCTGGAGAGGAGGGTCCATCGGATAGTCGAACCTCGGATGAAGGAGAAGCAGTGCGGTTTTCGTCCTGGTCGTGGAACACTGGACCAGCTCTACACTCTCAGCAGGGTCCTGGAGGGTGCGTGGGAGTTTGCCCAACCGGTTACATGTGCTTTGTGGACTTAGAGAAGGCGTTCGACCACGTCCCTTGGGGAACCCTGTGGGGGGTACTCTGGGAGTATGGGGTACCGGGCCCTTTGATACGGGCTGTTAGGTCCCTGTATGACCGGTGTCAGAGCCTAGTCCACATTGCTGGCAGTAAGTTGGGCTTGTTCCCGGTGAGAGTTTGACTCCGCCAAGGTTGCCCATTGTCACCGATTCTGTTCATAACTTTTATGAACAGAATTTCTAGGTGCAGCCAAGGTGTTGAAGGGATCCATTTTGGTGGCCTTAGGATTGCGTCTCTGCTTTTTGCAGATGATGTGGTCCTATTGGCTTTATCAGATTGTGATCTACAGCTTTCACTGGAGCGGTTCGCAGCCGAGTGCGACACGGCCGGGATCAAGATCAGTTCCTCCAAATCCGAGGCCATGGTCTTGAGCCGGAAAAGGGTAGAGTGCCCTCTTTGGTTCAGGGAGGATGTCCTGCCCCAAGTGGAGGAGTTCAAGTACCTTGGGGTCTTGTTCACGAATGAGGGAAAAATGGAACGCGAGATCGATAGGCGGTTAGGTGCAGCGTCAACAGTGAAGCGGGCGCTGTACAGGTCTGTCGTGGTGAAGAGAGAGCTGAGTCAAAAGGCGAAGCCCTCAATTTACCGATCGATCTACGTTCCCACCCTCATCTATGGTCATGAGCTTTGGGTTGTGACCGAAAGAACGAGATCTCGGATACAAGCAGCCGAAATGAGTTTTCTCCACAAGGTGTCTGGGCTCTCCCTTAGAGACAGGGTGAGAAGCTCGATCATCCAGGAGGGATTCAGAGTAGAGCCGCTGCTTCTCCACGTCGAGAGGAGCCAGTTGAGGCGGCTCGGGCATCTGTTTAGGATGCCTCCTGGACGCCTCCCTGGTGAGGTGTTCTGGACACATCCCACCGGGAGGAGACCCAGAGGAATACCCAGGACACGCTGGAGGGACTATGTTACTCGGCTGGCCTGGGAACGCCTCAGGATTCCCCCGGAGGAGCTGTACCAAGTGGCTGGGGAGAGGGAAGTCTGGGCCTCCCTACTTAGGCTGTTACCACTGCGACCCGACCCCGGATAAGCGGAAGAAAATGGATGGATGGATAAAACTTTTGTTTTTTAAATACGTGTGCGTGCGAGTCTCAGCATGGATGGATGATGTGCTATCGTTGTAAGACAACTCCTGTGTGCAGAGCAAAAAACTATAAATTGTACTAATGATTGTAATTTTGTGATCCATTAAAAAAAAAAAAATCAATGAAAGCATTAAAAGATAAACTGTAGGTCCTAGAAAACACTATATCTTATTTTGTGGAATAAGAGTTAATTGATCCCAAACCTTTGAACTCAGTTTACTGAAAACTGCCAAACTAAACTCGTTTTACTTTTCATAATTCTATCTCCTCACAACCCAACTTTTTTTTTTTTTTTAAGAATAACGATACATAGCTTGTGTAGTGCCAAAGCATTTACATCTGTGAAACTGTGATTGGGTCAGAACATATTGAATCTTCCTGAGCCAATATAGAGTGAAATGAAGCAGCAATGACGTCCAAAGCTTTGAACGTCATTTGTCACATGACAGTGTTGTTTGATACAAGTTCTGACACAGTGTTAGGAATCAGACTGCTTCAGGAAGAATAATACTGCTCCGAAGCTTCAGTATATTTTGCCCATCACTAGTTAGCGTTCAGCTTGTTTCTTACAATTACACCCTAAAAAAGCGCCTACTCTGAAGCAGGGGCATGAAAAAATTAATAAAACTGAGACGAACCTGTATAAATAAAGGTTGAATGAAAAACTAAAAACTGACCAACGACAGTTTCTGCTTTGCAAAGAAGAATAGGAACTGAATTACGGTAAATAATTTTAAGAACGGTAAAATGTTTCCTGCTGTCCAAAAGCACTCACTAAATCACTGATTTTTATAGAATGTTTTTGGTCACTTAACAATGAGCTATTAAATATTTTCTACATAATTTAAATGATAAATCTCATATGACAGTCATGTGAATATTAGTGTATTTAGCAACAGGGGCCAAGACTAGAGCTTTAAAAAGTATTTCTAGACAAAGATTACTGCCTGCCTAGCTGGAACAAAAGCCAAATGGTATAAAACATAAATCAAATATTAACTTCTCTTGATGCTAAGGTATTAAATAAAATAAAAACATCTTAAGCACATGCATGGTCCTATAAAAAAATAAAAATAAATTGATTGTGTTTACAAATCACTATGTCAATAAGGTCTAGTGTGAATTACTTTTTTAAGCTTCAGATTAGACTGAGTGGCAGTTCTAGTTGTTGGGACAAAATGGCATCAAGCCTTTTTCACAAACAGCTGACTGACAAACCAGTCATAAACGCAGAGCTCAGGGCTGTCACAGCATGGAAACACAAGTCTCAGAGAGCAATGATATGAGATTTGTTTGAGTGCACACAAGTTTTCAAAGTGCAGAATGACTGGCATGCAACTACCCAGAGGCCCATTACACACAATTCTCAAGGTTAACCTCCCTGTAATGACTTCACTCATATTATTTCACCTTTCGTTCATAAACACCACCAGGATAATACCCTTCACTTGCGTCGCATGCACAGAGTGTGAACCATAATACTTTTGTTTTGAAAGCTGTATTTAAGAGTCGATTAACCAAAAAAGCCCACAGCTTTCTTCAAGAATTTTGCATTCCTGGTGCATGTTAGCTTGAGGCAGCTGAAGGTAAAACAACAGGTGGAACCAAGCTATCTCAAGTTCCTAATAACAGGTTGGTTCAAATGAGCAATACAGCAATTAGTACTAAGTAAGCACAAAACAACTACGCTTTTTTTATTTGTCTCATTTCTAAGAATGAAACTAGTTCCTTAATGTTAATCTGATGGGACTAAACAAACCAATGTGTTTTAATGAGAAATAATAAATACATATCAACAGTGTAGTGAGTAGTGATTAAAAAACACAGAAACAACTGCCTGATGTTTCTGAGAGTGCTCTTTAACATGAATTTTGCAAAGGGCATTTTATGAGGAAGTAATCTGGAGAGGATTAAGATACCATTACGGTTGTTTTCCCAAAATAAAAACTTTTGACATAAGGAACCAAACTAGTCTCAGCACTCAACTAGCGAGTAACTTTACCTTTTAAGGAGTGAATCCTCTACATTCCCTTACAATAACTGTAACAGAGAGCTGAATAAAAGTAAACTGCTGTTTAAACTTCCTTCACCCAAATTGATTAGTTCTTTATCACAGAACAGACGTGCGTCAACTGTTTTAGGCAACTACAGAGACGCATCCATGGTTGGAAGGAGGCAGAGAGCGGGGTGGGGCTGAACACCTCGTCTCCATTGCTTGTTATTTCAGTGTTTATATAGTTGAATTAACAGTGAATTCACTTGTAATGTGCTGTAAAGCCAAGGGGCTCTCACTTGGTTCCCCTGCTGTGTTTCAAACACAAGAAACATGTATTCACCAAGGCATTCCCTGGTTATTTAAGAGCAACAAATCTGAACTTCTTACCCCACAACTCCTTCTGAGTAGTTCCTGACTTTCCACGGAGTGCCCGTGTAACCTTCATATCCGTCCGTGTTGGACCCGCTGCCACAGTTCAAAAGGCTAGAATTGAATCCGAAAGTGCTCGCTTTATTGTCTCTTTTTCTTTTGTTGGGGTGTCCCTCCGTAAGTCCCCTCCACAGCACCCCGCTGCCTGGCTGCCCCCCTTCGCCGCCACCGCCCCTGCTAGGGGCTCGGTTGTTGTGGTTGCTGTCTAGTGGAACAAAGTCCCGCTGTTCTATTATGTCTCCGTCCCCCATTGAGCTCTCGGTCCCGACGTCTTTACAACCGGTGCGTGAGTCAAGAAGGACTCCGTGTGTGCAAGTGCGGACGGCTCCCGACGCCCCGCTGACGATCGCTTTCAGGCTCGGCGTGCTCTGAGGTCCCGTGCTAGTAGTATAGCTGTTATTTACGTTCATACAACCGAACACTTGTGTCGTCTCCCAGATCTGCATCCACAGGTTGTTAGAGGGTCCGAGCTGTTCTGGCTGAAACCAGGCGAATCTCGGATCCATCAAACGGAACTGTAGGCAAATGCCACACCACCGCCAAGCAACGCTCAGCTCCTATGCAGCTAGCTAACGTTAGCTAGCTCCGCTACCTCTGGCTGCTAGCTCAGGTTCTCCAATGTCCGTTACTTCTAGAACATGATTAAAAATAAATAAACGCTGCAACAATGACGACACGTACAGCTACCAACTAAACCCATCGACAAAAAAAAATAAAGTGTGAGTTGGGTGTATAAAAATAATCAAATTGGAACTCAAACTTGTAGAAGACTGTAGAAACGTGCGGAGGGTAGATGTCCAAGTGTCTCTGACCCTTTCCCTACTACTGCGGCTGCGCAGAGTGAAAAGGGGGAGGAGCCATGGAAGTTACGCAAGAGACAGTTGGTTGGTTTGTTACATAAGGAGCTCTGATTTCATATGCTTCTAAGATATAGAAATTGTAAAACCATCTATTCTTTATATTTTTGGCATAAAGCTTCCGAAAGCAACGAATGCGGCATAAATTTAATTTAAATTCAATGGCACTTCGCACAATTCCACTGTATGGAAGCCCATTTCTGCCACTGCAAAAAAAAAAAAAAACTTCTCATCTAAAATAAGATTTTTCAAAATTATGAAATAGTATAATTATAATAAACTGATTGTTGTTAAATTATAAGATATGTGATATCTCCAAATTATATGTATTTATTTAATTACAGAAGTGGAATATAGCTTAACATAGTTTATGCATACTTCATACACTATAGCAACTTTTAAACTTCTTGAAAGTTTTAACAAATATTAAGTACACAAGTATATACAGAAGTTAATTTTCTAAATCCTATTTTCCACTTAATTGCCAAGTCTTGAGGTAAGCTCACTCGCTATGGCAACCCCTGAAGAAGGGAGCAGAGAACATAAAAAAGGCAATTTTCAACAGCATCAACTTTAACTAACTCTAAATTGAATTTATCTGCTCCTTTAATAAGTTATTTTGCAAAAATGGGCAAGTTTAAATCTTAACATTACTAGCATATATTTTGTGCTTTCAATACTTCAATCACTTTTAAAATGAATTTGGTTTACTTAAAAGTATGCAAATATTTATTCCTAATCAGAATAAAACTGTTAAAAAGGATGTATAACGCCAAATAGTGTTTAAAGAAATAAGAATTTTTTTTTTTAAATGGCAACTGATAATTTTCAATTCCATATTTTTTTTTATTGTTTTTAACAGCAATATGCATTTTTACATGAATTTTCAAATACTTTTGTAACTGTCAAAAGCAGAAAAATATGATCAATAAATGGGTTATAACATAAACAAGAAAAAAATGTTGCTTGTTTTTATAGACCCAAATTTTCAAGTTAAAAAATACAATGTATTGAATGCTGTCAAGCAGATTTAAAAAACATATTTAGCTTTGCATTTTTAAAACATAAACTGGACAATCTGTGTTAATTCAAATGAGTTTCAAGCTCAAATCTTTTTTTTTCTTCTCATTATTGTTATAAAAGTTGAATCAACGTAATGGAAAAATCCCAAATATTGGAAGCACAGGAATCACCCTCATGTATATCAAGTTACAACCACTCGAACATGATACGAGCGCTTTAATTTGATAGTCGTCTTCTTAAGGAAAAAAGTGTGTGCTTGATTCTTAAATCTGATCTGGACACGTTTCTAAAATGAGCTGCCAAGTGTACAAAATCTGAACCTTTTCATAACCACGCGACATGATCATCACATTGCCAAGAATGTCTCACTTATCACGAGTCATAGGAATTTGTCACATTTAATTTCATGGAGAATTAAATGGCTTTTTAGTCTGTTTCATATTTTTTGTACATATCAAAGGTCAGGTCTTACAATAAAGTTAACCAAGGTTGGAGAAAAATGTTTACCCAAAACATTTTATCATGAAACTTTCCACATTTTGTTGATTTTTTAAGTTGATCATAGTTAACATAATATACTATTATTTATTCAAACTAAATATACACCAATTTGTATAAAAAAGCAGGGTCTGGGTGTGTACTTTAGATAATTCCTTTTACATAATCTGAAAAAATAATTATACTGTAGAAGCAAAAGGTCTTAAATTTACTTTCAAATGTTATATTTTGGGTGAACTACATTTTTATTACTGCACGTCTGATCCAAAACATTTGTCTTTCAACTCCAGTGTCCTCTACAGTACACTTTTCATACATTTTAAGTGTTATTCAAGGTGACACTGCTGTTTTCAAAGTCCTGCCTTATTTATTTAATTGTTTGGTTCAAATATTTGTACATATTTTAAGAATAATTTAATAAATCCCATCCAAGTATTTGTTTTGAACATTATTTGTACTTTCAGGAACTGTTATGAGTTGTATTTGCTTATTTGGACAACCTTAGAATGTGTTTTCAACTTCAGAACCACTAAGAAGCTCCAGGATTATCTCACTAACTCAAATTCGAGCCACTCTTACAGAAAATAAATTTGTAAAATTGACACAGAACAACCCAGTTATGTGCTTCTTTAAGGACAAGACACATTATTTCTCCAAAAAAAGTGAGAACTGCCTTGTACAAAATAATGAAATAAAAACCAATCAAAGCATCAGCATAAATGAAACATGGGAGAACATGAGGAGTTCTAAAAAGAGACGTTGAAGTTTGCTCTCCTGATCTCTTAACATTGATGAGATTTCATTAAAACGTAGTTCTGGGCCAAAAACATTTGTTAGTTAAATGCGTGAACCATTAACCAAACCTCTCTTTTCACCACAAACTTCAACATAGCTCAAGAAAAACTGTAAACCATTATTTAAAGTAAATAACCATAAATAGTTGACTGCAACACAGCCATATTGTCTCAGACACGTGTTTCAATGATCAGAGTATGAAAAACACAAAGTCCTCATTTTTTCACCATCTTTTCCAGGTAACTAATAAATCTTCTCAGGTTGATTTTGATGTTATCCAGCACGCAGAGCTGCTGAGGGCTGTATTTACCTCTTCCTTCTTTACGTACCTGAAAAACAAAAGTGAAAGTTAATTCAAAAGACAGAAGAGAGAAAAGAAATATGCATTTGGAAAACTTATGATCCAACACATACAATTATCCCTAAACGATTACAGTAATCCCTCGTTTATCGCGGGGGTTTCCTTTCTCAGCTCCCTAAGTGAAAAATCGCAAAGTAGGAATAGTAGTACAAATAGTAAGTAGTTGTTTAATTTAGTGTGTATA